ATGTATATATATATATATATATATATATATATATACATATATACATGTATGTGGCCTTCCATGCCATCCCAATAGACATCCTCAACAAACAGGATGGCAATTGTATTGGAGACCAAATTAACCCATACTAGATATTAACCTTTTAATTTGTAGTCTAAGATGAAATACTAGACTTATTGTCATTTGCTGTTATATTTAAGCTTTTAAAAATAAAGTTTGCTGACCATATTTTGGTTGATTGTTATTTGCAAATAGACTTTTGACCAATTTCAAGCAATTTAAATAATAAAAATCTATTATGTTTTACCTTGGTTCTAAAAAACAAAAACAAAAAAAACATAGATTGTAACAATCTATAGTTAAGTTGTGTTTATTTTTAAATGTATTAGCAAATTAAGATCCAGATAATAGCAAATTATCACTTTTGGCCACACAGAACAACATTTTTTTTCACCAGGACTGTATGCATACTTCTTTACAGTTCAATGCTATAATATGCTAACCTGACAACAGCCAGAGACATGCATCTGGCTGTTGTCAGGTTAATAATATGCCACAAAGATCCTTTTTTAAATATTTTTTCATATAACCTTACGCAATGTTAAACGTGAAGATAAAATTCTTTACAATATAAATGGTGTGATTATTAAGGCAATCTTTAGTAACTACATTAGCAAACTGGACTATGTTTTTTAAGCTCACTGATCCTCTCTAAAGTTGTAGAACCAGAATACTTTTTTTGCTACCTACTGCTTCTAAATCTTTTGCAGATGCGTCTTTAGGTTCATAGTAGTGTTTATTGCAGTTTCAATATCCAGATCAATCCAAATTTTAATCTTCTAATACTCAATAGAACTGAAAGGAAACTTTCAGGCTACTGCACACAGCCGTAGATGATTTCGGCACAGGGCAGTTTGAGCATAAAGATGGAGGCTTAAAACATTCACACTTTGAGAGCAGGTTTATAATGTTGTCGGGATTCCCTATCTGATGAAGATGTTGGATTTGTGTGATAGATCCTCACACTGCTGCTCTGGTCCAAAGAGTTCTTACAGTGAGAAATATCACATTGTAAGCATGGTTTACTTTCACTTAGGATACAGTTCTCCAGTCTGTTTATGCAATGGCATCACACTGGTGTGTTCCACTCCAGAATCTAAACTCTGGCACAGTTAACAGCATCCCAAAAGTTTGGGATGAAAGCTCTGAAAATTATAAAAATGTGACTTTTTTTTATTCCTTCCAGCTAAGCTTTACAAAAACAGAGACAAATTCTAGACTGGAGAAGTTAAGGAAAAAAGACGCTTGGCTTTTTTTCCTTGTTTTTCATAAAAATAAATATGAAATATTTTTCATAATCTTTGCCGTTATATAATTTACAAACTTTCATTCAATTAGGGGCTAATTGATGAACCAATTCCCTGATACTACTTAAAAGCAGTGCAGAGAACCAGACATGTGATTAACTCGCTCACAGGGCTTGTTTCGAGCCCAGACGCCAAAGTTGATATTTGCTTTAGGATTGATGGTTGCCAGAAAAGAAAAATCCTTTTAAAGGTCAGGTTGAAAGCTTAGCAAACAATGACCCTCTGTGCTCGGTGGATGGCAGACTGAGATAATGGAGGAGATTGCATTATTTGTTTTATGGACGACAGAAACACTGGAAAACTGCTGCTGCAAGTAAGGTGATAGCAGTTAAATAAAGCATTACACAACAGCTTCTTAAACATTTATGTATTTTTGGTGAACCTAACAATGACAAGATTTTCTATGGAAAACTTTAAGTTCCAATATTAAGATTTTAATTAATCCAAAGTCGAATATAGGAATATATAAGATCAAATATTACTTTTGGCCATATGATATAGTCATTTGCAATGAAATATTAGTTATTTTCTTCCAAACCAAAAGCAAGTCTTTTGCCTTTAATGCCATAGGACCTCCCACATTGTAGGTGCCGCCAATTTAATTGGTTGCCCTGGAGTCGCAAGAGCATGGTAGAAATGGTCAAGCCTAATATCACAAGTGAGTTAAGTGCTACAATATTTAAGAACCAGACACTGTTGTCATTTTCCCTTGAACAGACAGTTTGTGAACAATACGGCAGTTTAGTAAGTGGAAGTTAAATACCATAAGGGGAGGATAAACCACAAGAAGAAATAGCAAGAACAACTGCTAGAGCGGCTGCCATTTTCGCTTACCGGTGGTCAGTCTGACATAGTGGAAAAATTGCAAATCTTGTTTTGGTAATTAATTCCTTCATCATTCTTGATGAAGGAAAACAGCAAGTCATGTTTAGCAAAGCCGTCAAAAAGAAAAAAAAATGCATCTGTGCTTTACCAGATTCAAGGTAAAAGTTCACCTGTGTCTACTTAGCATATGAGACAATATGATAAAAACTGCAGCTAGGTATAACTATCTGTTATATGTTATTCGTATCAGTACTAAGGATTGACAAGTACTTAAATGTCAGTACTTCTACTCTTATTTGGGTTAGGAAAATCTGGTACTGGTGTTTCCCTGATACTGTCCAGGCAAAAATAATTCACAAGGATTATTCAGACATGCATGCATGTAGCAAAATGCAACTCTGGGCATGGTTTTGATGTGGGAGGAGCAAAGTTGATTTTGAATGATATAGACATTTTACCTTAAACTTTTCCAATAAATTTTAATTTCTAATCCATAACTTTTTGCTTCATTGGGGTATAACATGGCCTGAAACAGAGGGCAAGATAATCTCATCGCTCTTTAAACTAGAAATTACATGAGAATATTTGATTCAGGAAACACACACAGCGTTCTGATCTTATTAAGTCAGAAATGGCTACAAGAAAATACATACATATAGTAGTAACTCAAAGGATTTAAACAATTGGAAACATGACAACTGAGACTGTGCAAGGACTGACGTTTACAATACCTTGTTATCATGCAAAGCTCAGGGTAACTGAAGACTTACTTGGAAGGTATCTACACAAATAAATCAAGGGAGCCAAATAGATTTGCCACTATGATGTAAGTTTCAACCACTGCTGTTGTGTGCTGGCAGCTGTTTTCAGTTTAAGACAAAAAGTTATTTATAACTTTTACAGTTCCAAGACCAATAGACACTGCAAGTTACCTGAGGTGCATTAGTGGCAATTAAAAAGGCATTTGTACGACCAGGATGGTCATAGTCGTGCATTGCAGCTGCTACATAAAGGGCCATGAGCTCCAGGGCAGGTATATTCCAGGCCAGGCAGCCATAGCTGTCATCTGAAATTGAGGAGCTCTTGGACGTGGCGTAAGATATTCTGCCTGGGGAGATTCCACTGTCTGAGTCTGGGAAACACAAACAGTTTGCAACATTTGCACGGTGAGAACAGTGTGAAGGACACAAAAAAAAACCTATTCAAGCTTAAACTCATGATTAAAGACAAGAAAATATTTAATATCACATATCTTGTGGTATATGACAGAAACTTTACGTCAAAAGGTATGTAAATTCTTAATCAATAAATAGAGATTTTTTTTAATTTTTTTACATAATCCATTTCACCATGCGGAGGATGATTTAGCCGCCTTGGGTTATTATGCATGTAACAACATTTTTTCTGTGACTCGATGATATATACCTGTGTCACTTCCCGTCACATGCTCACTGTGTATCTGCTGAAATCCAGGGATTGGTCGAGTGGTCAGGTACCAAACAGCATGGAGCACATCTGTAGCATGTACCCGGTTATGGTCTTTAAAAAAAAAAAGAAAAACTTTTAATTAACCTTGTATAGCATGGAAAAACTATGGATGCACAATTGAGACACGCCATGGCGAATGTAGGAACAAGTCTCCCAGGTGTTATTTTGAGTTATCTACAGATCCTGAACATCTAGTTCCACCAGTGTCAAACATGTAAATCAAAAAAGAACTAAAGAAAACATGACCATTTGAATCTGCAAAGGAATGGAAGCCAGCTATGCACTACAATAAATGTTCCTTTGAAAACCGTTTCATAACTTGTTCCATTACCTCCCCAACCAGTGCTTGTCAACAACAAATGGTGCTTTTTTTAAAATCCGAAATTGAGTTGCATCTGTACATTGCACAGATAAACATATTTCAGTTTCTAAAAAATACATCAAAATAACAGTAACGCACACTTAAGAAAAAACAAAGAGAAAAGCTTATAAACTTCATTTAGAAAACTGGTGGGAGGAAAAATTTGCTGACAGACGTTGAAGGTTGTGATCAATCTCTGTATCTGATTGTAATACAGGCATGAATAGCAACGAGGCAATTGTGTCTACACCTTTAATAGGCGTTAATCTACAAGAGACTGGTGGAAGTCACTTAATCTATAATGTCAATTGTCATCTTTTAGTTGACCTAAGAAGATGAACAGGGGCAATAACTTGGCATAAAGGCATTGATAAAGCAGAAAATAATCAAATAGGTGAAATCAAAGTTGCAACAAAGATGGTGAATAAAGCAGTAGATAAACAAGTAGTTTCCATGTTATGAAGATAGATTAAATGTAATAAATTGTCCTTCCTACATTCTTTCATCAGGAATTTCAATAACATTATTTTCACAAAATCATTACAGATGACACCAAGATCAGGTTATGATAATATAATGTTTATCCTGTGTGAACAGACCTTTAGTCAAACACCTTTTATTTTAACAGCTTCTATTAGGTAAGCACTAGTACAGTATTACACTCCCCAGTGTTGCATTTTATTCATCCATCCATCCATCCATCCATCCATCCATCCATCCATCCATCCATCCATCTTCACTTCTCCAGGCCACTTGGGCCTGTGGGGGAATCACAAGGCGCTCCCAGGCCAGCCGAGAAACATAGTCCCTTTAGCGCAGGGGTGCCCAACCTGTTTTAAACCAAGAACTACTTTTGAAGTTGATGGCATGCCGAGATCTACCAAGCCAAACACAAGGGATGGGCAGTATGTTTTTTATTTGCACAGGTGGAGAATAAACAGTAAGTCCAACACACAAGGAAATTATCAATTGTGTCAAAAAACAGGTTGCAAAAACAAAACTTAACAATCTCATAAGTACTTGACACCAATTTTTTTAACTACTTTTCAAGGCTGCATTTTAAAAAAGATGAAATTGTCCAGAGAACTAAATTTCTTTTTGTTTTACACTTGTGTAAACAAAATGGCAAATATAATCTGTCAAAGTCTAAGATCACTTCAAAGCAGAAAGCAAAAGGGAAGTCCACTATTTCAGAATGATAAACTTCACTGGGCATTGGCAGAGAAGCTGGCAGATGGATTAAAATTCAACAGGAAAACAGATAAAAATAGGAAAATACTAAGTATAAACTATGTGGATGTGAAGATGTAACATAGGGCAGAATGGGTTGTTGACTGTTTCAGAAACTTTTTAATTTCGGGCAAAAGTTCCAACAATCTTTCGAAGAATCTGCCACGACTCAGCCACCTGACATCGTTGTGCAGCAGCAGATCAGTGTGGTCTCCACCTGCCTCCTCGAGCTGTGCACGGAATAAACGCCTCTGTAAACTCCTGGCCCCAAACAGTGCAAGCGATCTTCATCGCAACGTCCATGACATGGTTCATATTTAAAATATTGCCGACAGCTTGAACAGAGCAACAAATCCAGCAGTGCGCCCAACCATAGATGGAGCCCCATCAGTTGTGATAGATGTCATTATATCATTATTTCTTCAGATTCCTCTTCAAGCTTTAGAGTCCCTGGTAACAACCTAGCAACCATGGCAAACCATGCCCAGCAATCAGCATGCATAAAAAAAGTTCCCTGCATACTTTTTATTTTTCATTTCTTTATTATTAAAATACACATTGGCCTCTCGTGATCAATGATTTGATTAGTGTTTTTTAAAACTTTTTTTTTTTTATAGCCATAAATAGTTCTACATTGTAAAACTTCTTGCGATCGACTGAAACTCTGTCCACGATCGACTGGTAGACCGCGATCGACTGGTTGGGCACCCCTGCTCCAGCGTGTCCTGGATCCCCCCCTGGCCCTCCTCCCGGTGGGACGTGCCTGGAACACCCGACCAGGGAGAAGTCCAGGAGGCATCCTAACTAGAAGCCCGAGGCCAACTCAACTGGCTCCTTTCGATGTGGAGGAGCAGTGGTTCCTCCCTGGATGACTGAGCCCCTCACTCTATCTCTAAGGGAGACCCCAGACACACTTTGGAGAAATGCATTTTATCCATTTGACTATGATTTTTTTTTTTATCTATTTATTGTTTTATCAAACATTATTATTGGAAATTTATTTCAAAAATAAAGAGAAACAAACTGTATTAGTGTCCATTTTCAAGTATTAGACATTACACAGTAAGGCTCAGAGCCCCCAAATAGCTAGCACTGCCCCTGATCTCACCGTTTATATTTTATTTCTTCAGATTTTTCTCTCGTCCAAATTGTCTACAGCCAACTGAATGTACAGAAACTCTATAATACAAAAGCAATGTGTTTCTTTAATTGGTGCCTGCCGTTGCAGTGCATGGAGGCACCTATTATTATTGTCGCCAAAAAACTTACTCTTTATTTTTGGGGCCTGCAATAAGCATTGCATAGGAGGGCAGTCAATGCATTGCAAACCACTTACGGTGGTTTGCAAATGCCCATTATCAAAAGTCATTTGAAGGTGCTCACCTTCTGTTATAAATAGTCTCTAGATAATAATAATTGTATTACTTTTTTCATTCATAGTGAGGGAATAACAATCAACACAGTCAGATAAACACAAATCAAATGCACACTGCCAAGTACAACAAAAAAAACCTCGATCAGAGCCAGCGGTACTTTGCACACGGCTATGCCAAGAGAGGTGCTGCTGTTAGATAGGTTAGCCCTTGCTGCCGTTAGCCTCGGAGACCCACTGGTTGCCGCGGTCCTCTCAACTTTGGAAATGTTTTTTAAAATGATGCATTAAATCGGTAAATGGACCATGTAGTGACGCTTTAAAGAAGCCTAAAATGATCTTAAAATGTACTTTTATTGAACAACAGCAACAGAAAAGAGAACTTTTAACTTTCAATGCCGCTCTCCATTGAAAGCTGCTGCTGCCGACGTGCATGCTCGGACAGCTGTCAATCTTAAGAACGGACAAGTCTGTATAAGTCTGTAATAGGGAGGGGCGAGAACAACATCCGTGGACTTTGACTGTTCTCAGTCTGCTGTCTTTGTGAATTGGAACAGTACTAGGGCTAAGACTGATGACATTTCACGAGTACACGAGCACATGAGTACGCACAAGTACACATATTGAGAAATGGCCTATATCACCGCTGGCCATGACCCCTCCCTTGACACAAATAAAAGCCTCCCGTTTCCGCTGTAATAAAGCATCTATTGACCTAATAACAGGGAAAGAGGCTGATTTCACAATTGGAAAATCACTAAGTATCATTGTTGGGAATTACCTTTTCCATAATACACAACCCTGATAGACTTTATAAGTTCTAAATTAAGCTAATCCATTTCCTCTGTAATGAAGCAAAGGCTAATCTAATAAGAAGGAAAAAGAGAGATTCTACAATTGTAAATGGATGTATCTCTCCAGAGGCTAACCGTATGCTAAAGTCACAGCCCTGGTAGACCTTCAAATTAAGACAACAGGTCCTCTACAAAATAAAACCCTATATAAGATACTCAGCAATTTATTGCACTATATGAATCTTTATCATTACCCCAGCCGCGACTAGGTCTGGCAACGCCAGTCACCAGTTGGTGTGCGACGCTAGCCGCCACTAGCTAATGTGACATCAGTCAACCACTAGGGGTGGCGACGCTAGTCGCCAACAGGTGTTGTGAAGCCAGTCCCCAGTAGGTGAAGCGAAGCAAGTCACCACTCGGTATGGTGATGCCAGTCGCCATCAACCATGAACAAGCAATTTGCCACCTGGTATGGTGATATATGCCAAGGTACGGTGAACCCAACTAACCCCATTAAGCCTTTGGTGCCAGTCCAAATATTATGCACACACGAACATGCACCAAGTGGCAGGCACCTCCAAAATTTCCTTAGGTCATTTTCTAGTTTGATATTGATGATGCTTTTGGTCTAAGTGAGGGGGAAGTGATTTTTACAATAACAATAAGTTATTTAATTTAGTTGTAATATTTTTAATTAGATTATCATCACTTACTCCATATTTGTATATATATGTATGTATACGTATATATATATGTATGTATACGTATATATATATATGTGGTTCGAAATGAATACATAAAACTAAATCCTATATTAATTTGTCAGAGCACACGAAACAGATATTTATTTTCTATTATCAGTTTTAATTTACTACTGCCCTTTCCACACATAGTTCACCGATGATGAAGACGACGAACATGTTTCCCCCCCACACGTCTCCTCGGATGATCAAAGAAAATTACCCCTCTGCCATGGCGTAGTAATATAACCAACCAGGGGGTGTCGCAATTCAGTATTATCAGCCGTAGTTATCAATGCTGTTTTAAGGTCTGGGCCTGGCAATGAATTAAAACTTCGGTTTTTTTTTTTTGTTTGTTTGTTTGTTTTTTTTTGGAAAGTTGGCGAAGCCGTAGCGTGAGTTTGGCGAGGCGGCTGCCTCGCCAAGACAGTGCTGCGGGAAACACTGCAATACTAACATTACATTATCACACAGTACACTCAGCCACTCAGTAACTTAGCCTGTGAATTCCTAGCTAGCAGTTACTAGCGTAAACAAATAGGCGCTAACGTTAA